TTGTCTCTATAACTCAGGAGTCATTGAGCCAACATGTAACATGGAGCAAGAATGGAGTCATCTATGTACTTCACATAGCGAGTGATCTCATCCTCGCTTGCCCCTTCCTTGGGCGTAGGCATCACTGTATCAAGGACGTATATGATTTTTTTCATCATGAAAATAATTATCAGATGTAGAGCCAATCTATATAATTCAGACTAGTGAGGCAGTTGAAATCAAGTATGCCATGCAATGGATTTGAAAAGTACAATTTCTAAAAATAAAGATGTAACAAAAATAAATAATATGCAGATTTTATAAAAAATAAACAAATAAGATATGAACTTTTATCTTAATCTACTCACACTATTTTTCTAGCGAGTCACGCAACACCCTCAACATGTGAAACGGAAGTCTCCAGTAGACTTCTAGTTGGGATCGGGATCCAATCAGCGTCTTATTGTAACCTCGAGGAACTTGACTAATTATACTAAGCCGAAAAGGTAGACAGCTCTTGCCGATCACAACTCCTTGTGATTCCTATCTTATTCGGCCTCTAAACCATCATGGTCTTAAGATTTTCGGTTAAGTCAATACCATCATTACAAGATGAGTCTGATTCGATGATATACCCTCGAGGGACTCGACCAAGTTTACCATGTCCTCAGGTCACCGGTGACATCTTTATGTTATAGGCAAGATAGCGAATCGCGATATAGGTGAGCCTCGAGGGACTTGACCAACTCAACATACATCGAGAATCGTTCCCTACTTATAACGATGGAAGGCCACGTAGGTCAATCTAATTGCCTCACGTTTACCGACTTAATATTATCGAGAGACGGGATTTTGATTTGTTCTCCTAATATGACATGTCACACACATATATATTTAATATATATCTACATCGCATGAAAAAAAAAAAAAAAAAAAAAATATATATATATATATATATATATATATATATATATATATATATATATATATATATATATATATATATATAAGGTGTATAAGCAATCACATCAGATGATCATAGACCACAACCTAATGTGATCAGACCCGAGCCAATGGGCCTAGTTTCTCACATCAAAATCTATGTGTGCAGCGGTGCATCTCCTTGCCTTATAATCGTTCATTTCATCCTCGTCGGTTCTGTTAGCATCTTGACGCATCTCCATCCGTCACGATCATCTATCTCGGTCTCGTGGGTCCCGCTATAGCTTCCACGCTCCCGGTACACCTGCTCATGTGAGACAACTTAATCATAGGCACGCAGACCTAGCAATAAATGAGAAATAAATTGGAGGCTCGTAGGCCCTAATAATAATAATCATCATATTTACACACACATCACATAGTCAAAGATCATCTGACTATATCATACATCACATGTACACATCATAATCATATAGGACTACTAGATAATAATAATAATAATTAATTAAACTTTTTAATTAATTAATATTTTCTAAAATTTAAGACATGTAGGGAATTTTTTAAATTATGAAGGGCATTTTGATAATCTAGACAGAAAGGACAACCTTTGAAATTTCTCAAATTCAAAGGTGCAAAAATATCTTTTTACCCAAAAACTCTATTGCCCTTCTCCTTCTCCGCTACTACGTTATGGCTGTCGCCACCCCACCGGCGGCGGCCATTGTAGGGGGGCGAGGTCATCACCTATGCTCGCGGGTAGTGTGCTTGCGGGCAATGCTGCCCTATGGACGTGCGCCACTATGGGAGCCGGCGCCCCTACAGGCAAGTGTGCTCGCGGGTGACGGTTGCCCCTTGCGGGTTTCGCCCCTACGGGCGAGCGGTACCCACAAGGGGGCTAGCCTGCGGGCCCAACGCTCGTAGGCGACCATGCCTATGGGAGGACGACCGTCACTCGTCGGCCACCTACGGCCCCCTACACGCAGGTGGTCGAGACCTCCTATGGGAGCTCTCAGCTAAGACTACAAGCAACCTTTGGCCAACTTACGAGGGCAGCAACTATTGCTACCCTCTCTCACCTTTTGTGTCAATGATTTTGACGTCAAAAACTTTTCTAAGACACAACACATACAGTTCAAAACCAATCTTTCATATAAACAACCTGGCTCTGATACCATTGTAGGGAAATCTAGGGGCGACATCACATGCGCCGCGGAAGAATAGAAACAAAAATTCCCAAATTTCTCAAAAAAATTGTTGGTCATCGTGCAAAGATTGGTGTGCAAAATCTATGAAACTTAAAACCACGCATTAGATAGTTGTGTTACCTAGGGAGATTGTATATCCTTAAATCCCTGTAGATCTGTAGGTAAGGGTGAATAAGGTTAAGCGTCCTCCTCTCTAGTGGTGATCCGCACAGTAGGGCTGCAACGATGCTCCTCAAATCTCTAAGCCTATTATTTAAGGAGGAAAAGAGGAGAGGAGAAGAGGAGGTGGCAACCAAGAGAAGCTCTAGCCTATGATTCTTTGGTTCACTCCTATTTATAGAGGTCCCCTATCAACTTAACCATAATGGATCCTGTCCTTTTCAGTATTGGATCTCCATCTAACTACCCAAACCTCTTAGATTAGTGGATCTCTATCCAATAATCTCTTATTGGCTCTTATTGGATTTTATCCATAGGATCCAATAATTCAATAGCATATTGTATATCCAATAAGATAAGGGCTTCGATAGATATCTCATATCTAAATCTCTACTCATCACAATGCCTACTATATATGTGTGATGGTATCGCCAATATCCCTAAAACCATGGATGGGATTTTTTTAGCTTTATTTTTGAAGTCATTCAGGGTCTATGAATACCCCACTCTTTCCTGCTTGAAAAGGCAAGAAAAGAGAACAAAAAGCCTTGTGATTCTGAGTTGTAAAGTTATGAAAAGTGCCAAGTGTACCCCTCCTCCTTTTTAAGTTTTGGGCTTATTCTAAGAGAGGTGTAAGACTTGTAAATGTTGTTTCTAAACCTATGAAAAAAGAGAAAGAGTTGTAAGAGAGTAGTTGGTTTTTATGCATTGAAAGAAGATCATTAGCGAATGCTGGTGGCCTTGACAAAAAAGGAATTAAGAATAGACATAAGTAGCGACGACCAAACCACTATAAACTCGATTTGTAATTTCTGTTTGTTTTTCATCATCATTACTTGTTGATTTAATTGTCTACAACTCTTACTTGCTCACTACGCTTATTAACATTTTTAAGTTAAACATATTTTTGAGTGTCGATACGGTCCTAATAATTAGTTCATCTGGTGCTTCATCCGAATCTTCAGTGCTTCATCCTCTCTTTTGACATATTGTTCGATCCATCGATATATTGCTCGATCTATTGGCATGTTGATCTCCCACAATATTTAATCTTCTTAGCGCAATATCCGATCCTTTTAGCTCGGTACCCAAACTCACGGCACGAAATCTATATTCTGGCACATTGACTAATCCTTGGCCCGACGTTCAATCTTTGACATGATCTATTCCGGCCCAATGTTTGATTCTCCTATTTTAATCGATTTGTTTTTTATTGATCGAAGTTAGTCCTACGTCACTCAAACACTCGTTAGATCATAACTTCATCAATTGATTTTATCATCAAAATCCAAGATTCAACAATATATATATATATATATA